TGCTGCGTGTTGCGCGAGCTAATGTAGATATAGAACCCCCCCCCGACCCCCCCCCCCCCGACAATGCAATGCCGCGCAGATTTGGTATTGAGCCGCCGGCGCCCCCCAAGCAGTATAAATGCATTGAGCAATCCGTCGAAGCAGCGCCCCGACCCAGAGACATGCACTGAACAGACGTGGCCCTCCACACCCGTCCGAAAATGGCAAGTGGGCCCGCGAACATTGCGCAATTCACAGCGATGCGCACTTTGCCCCACCAGCAACGCCAAGAGTTCTTATCTTTGCATGCGCGGTGGGAACGCACGAACGAAAATGCAGCGAGAAACGCTAATGGCAACAATCTGCCGGGAACGAGTGTCCTAAATATCCGTTTCTGATCTGCCTCCGCGATGCGCATGCCGTAGATTGCCCGAGCCGTGGTGTTCAAGCAAAGCCCAGAACTGTAGACACCGAAGGGCTCGCAGTACTCCTTCGAGCCCATGTGAATGGCAAAGGCAACCCAAGCGGTGCACTTTGCGACGAAAAGCGCGCATGGTCAGACCTCAAACTGCCCCGTTGCCTTCTCGCGTACAGTTAGCCTCAACGCAGGGATCGGGGGGCAATATAATCAGACGGCAACCGGGATAAAGACAATACCAGTCACGACCATGACAAAGCGCGCACGCTGATGTGGGGCACCCTTTCTGCGAGGTATCCACTCGCGGAGGCCGCTGTGCACGAAGACCGTCGTCGCGCCGAGAGGCGCCAGGGTCATGTAGCAGTTCGGTCGCGCCCTGTTTGGCAGTCTGCATTCCAATCGAACGCGCCGCCGCCAACGAGCGGGCTCTTTCAACGTTGCACTCCGCGAAGACAAACGCCACCCAGCCGCTCCCGGGCGTCGCCCCTGGGGAGAGAAAACCAAAGCAGCGCTGGGGAGGGGGGGGGCTCAGCGTTAGTTCGCCCCGCCCAGTGCGGAAGTTCGGGCACTCGCACACCTGATGCCGCATAGACGGATAGAGTTCGTCACATAACTGGAATGATCTGCCAGGTTGGCGTCGCGCCTCGGTCGCGGCCGCACCAGGGGGAAGGTCAGGACACGCAGGCGTTTATGTACTGAGAGTTTTAAAACGACCAGAGTGAATGGACCCCGTTGGAGCAAGCCCCCACGTCCACGTCATTAATCTCCTGCGTCCTGCCTGGACTTGCTTACCTGTTGTAAGAAGTGCACGCTGGTTCTGAGTTTTTGCTGGGTTCTCTTGGAGCCTGTCCAAAACCATCTTTGGTCGCCCATCAAACGTTCGCGAACCCTGTCATGCCTGAAGTTGTCCGAAACAGGAACCTCGAGGAGGGCGCCCTGCTGTTTCGAGTACCGCATGAAGCGAATGTCCAACGTGACTGCGTAATGGCCGAAACTCGTCTCTAAGAAACTGCTTCACGCAACTCGGCAATCTTGGGTCTTGGCAAAGACGTGAAACGCCGTTGGAAAAGAAAGATGTGGTGAAATGTGTTGCGCCCACCACCGCCACAAGCACCGCCGGCTGGTTTGTGTCTTCCAGATGGCGGCCGCGAGACGTCTGCCTGTCCCTGGCGGTGGCGGGGTCGTAATTGGTGAGGCCCAGAGCCACAGTGGTCGTACATCGACAAAGGCGAGACGAATCCAAATTTGAATACCAAGCACCGCCTTCAAAATCTCGAATGCCATGGCCAACTTTGCCCGCCTCTGCCGCGGTAGAATACCCCAGCTGGCGTCTGCCAGCTTGGCTAGGGCCCCAAGGTGCCCGGACTCAACAGGAGCGTGGGGGCCCGACCATCGTTGCCACAGCTTTATGTTTTTTATACTAAATCCAATATCGGCGTCAATCGTAGCTGCACTGGTCAGTGTTCGGTCCAACTCGTCACTGGATTGCGCCGTCAACGAGCTGTCGCCCATAAAAGCAGCTGAACGAAACAAAGGCTGCCATGGCGTAAGTGCGGTTGCCACCGCCGCGGGGGCAATCGAATCACACTGCGGCAGCATAAGTGTGGCGTATATCGGGGGGGCAGCTCGACGATGAGGCTGCAGCGCCTGGGGCCCGGCCCAGCAGCCTTACACACAGACGCAGACACAGACGCAGACACAGGCACCCACACACACACACACATGTCGAACTGCATCAGGAAAGGAGGCTGCGACCATTGCTGCGTCCGCCACCTCATGACTCATGTTGTCATACGCCTTTGAAAAGGTCCACTTCAATGCCATTCGCACTTCCTTCACAGTCACGCAACCATGAAGAGATCGCGTGGGCCGCGCTGACTGTCTTACTGTTGGCCCACTGGCTCGTGGGGTGCGTTGGGTGTAGACGAGGCGAACGCCTTGAGCCAGATGCGGAGGAGAATTGACCTGACGCTGATCGGCCTGGTGTCCGCTTCGTCATTTGGAAGACCTGCCACTCGCCAGGCGATCGGGTGGTTGAGTATGTCATCTGGGGGATGGCCACGGGACTGCACGCAGACGGTCGTCGCGTCCACCCAGCGCGTGAAAAACTATTCAGTTCTGGGGAATAACTTCATGAGCGCCCGCATTTCCTTACATGACCAGCCATCGGGTCCAGGGCAGCCCTGGGAATACTTGATGGCCGGTTGGAAGTCCTCCAGTGACGATAGCCAGTCTGCCAAGCACGTAGCAGGCGCCACCTGCGAGGCGTGCTGGTGCCAGCGGGCCGCATGGCCAGCCCCGTCACAGTTGGATGGGCACCGCTGCTTCTCCCACTGCTCGCGCATGTCACTCACGCGGCAGTTGTCACTCACGTAGCCCAAAGAAATATCCACCCCCGAACCAAGGTGAAAGCAACTTACCTTACATACAGGAGAAATGGGGTCAAGCCCACGAAAAAAGAGTTGGAAAAACGAACCGCTCTATCTCGCTACGGCTCGAACTGCAACTGCTACGGCTTGTGCCCGAAACCAAATTGTCATCAATAGTGTCCAGCCAGGGCCACTTGCGGACCCCAGCTCCTCGGAGATCCTATCGGGTTCCTCGTGGAGCTCTGCCACTTGCCTTTTCAATTCATGTAAACATGACTTCCGAAAGTGGCACGACTGTTTGTTGCCCGTTTCAGTTATACTGCTGGCTTGCATCGATTTGTTTGCCACTGGCTTTGAGCTGGCACCTGGCTTCATCTCACCTTGGGATTGACTTGCACCAAACTTCAACCTGGCTAGATCCGCCAGCATCTGGGTTGCCGAATCTAGCTTGTATTTAGCGTGCCATCATAATATTAGCTCACCGCTAGCTTGCTTTTTTGTGTGAGCTGTATGTTGCTTCTTTTAAGCTTGTCTTTGGCTAGTCTCGAGCTTACATTTAGTTTGAGCCTAAAGCGCCGTTTGGACATCACCATGCTTGCAGCTAGCCTTCAGTTCGCCCTTGAAGTGTCCTTGAACTTGCAATTCAACTTGCCTTCAGCACGTTGCTCATTGTGCCGTTTAAGTTTAGATTCCTTTGTGACTGCATCTGGGTCTCAAGGTGGCTACCAGCCCAGATGACAGCGTGTTTGCCATTCGTGTGTTTGCACCTTTTCGTTAGCTTTAAGTCGGGTCTGTCTCCCTACGAGGGGATTTTCGACGACAAATCAGAAACATACCCAAAAATACCCGAAAACGAGCGGGCACGGTCGGAGTGTACCTGGTACCCTCCTGGTGAGCGAGCCAGCGTGGGGACACAATGATGGTGACCCACGAGGCGGCATGCTCGCAATGCAACTGGTGACAATGTTTTTGTCTCCCGGGTAACAATCGTTAGCCAGGGGGGGTCGGGCGGGAGGGTAACGGTAACCGCGGCCGCGGCGTGCACCAGCGCATCAATCGCCTGTGTGCACGCCAGCATGTAGGGGGTGGTGGTCCAGGCCACCCCCTCCAAAGCGATCGTTAGCGTTACCCAGAGGGGGGGAGACAGGCCCCAGTAACGAGCGTTACCCTGGCAAGGAAAAAAAACGCTCACCTGGAACGATGGTGGCAGAGGACAAAACGATAAAGGACTCGCCTGCCAGCACGTTATGGCGACATGGTGATAGGGACCAGCATGTCTCGAATGCACCCAGAGAGGTCCTGGCACGCACCACACTTGCGACACAACGATAGGGACACGCGAGCCAACATGATGGGGATGTACCTGGGTCGATCTTTGGACTGCCATGAGACGCACGTTCGCCTGCATCTGGGCCGCAACATCCTCGATCTGGCACGTGTGGAATCCACCTGGAGCGGTCCTTGGACGCATCATTGCCTGGCCTCGAGACGCACCATCCTTGAGTCGGCTGGGATGCACCATCGCCTGGCCCTGGGCTGGAACGTCCTCGATGCCGGCACGCGCGGATTCGCGATCCCTGGCCCTGGGTCGGATCCAGATCGCACAAGACTCCCTGAGGATCCGACAGGGGGCATTCTGTGATGTCGCCGATTGACCACCACTCCAACCGCATGGACAAGCTATGAGGGACCACTCCACAGAAAAACACCCCAGAGATGGAGAAACCTAAAGGTACCAATACCGCTACTCCCCGGACCTCTCCTGGAGTACGTTCTAAAAAGGATCTCGAGACGACTCTGACCGTGGCGACCGGAGAAGGGTAACCGTGGCGGTACCTGTTCCCCCCAAGGCACTCCACACAGAACAGAAAAACCACGGGGATCAGGACGGCCGAGGTGGAACCGACTATCTGCGGCGCGCACAAGGGGGCATGGGGGAGGGGGGGGGAGACTTCTTGGAAGGAAGCTGCTTATTGGTAGAGAAGGCCACCGTCTCCTATGAAGCAGGGGTGCTTCCAAGACGCCCTTTCTCCCTCCTCCTGCCCCCCTCTGCACGTGACCAACTTCCTCCCCGAACCCATGGTCGATTCGGGGGTCGCTCTGAAGGTGCCCCTGGCAGAAGGTGCTCCAGCTTGTCGCTCGATGCTGGAGCCCCTGGGGCCCCCTGGGCCTCGTGAGGGGCGCCCTGGAAGCCGTGGGGCCTCCGGCGCAAGGCTGAGACTGCGGCGGCATGCCTGCGGATCTCCGTGTCCCTCTCGAGCAGCGCCTCGGCGCTCTCGGTGCCCTCCCGCCCGAGGTCCTGGGCGCGCGCCGAAAGTAGGGAAACGAGCTCTGTACACCGACGTTTTTTCCGACCCTGCGCTGAAGTTCGCACAGGAACAGGAACGCGGATCCTGGTGTACACGGGATCCTGGTGTATACATGTTTCGCTGTTTCCCTGGGGAAACGGGGAAAGGTATACACCACACCACCCCGACGTCGTCCCCGACCCTCAAAAAATCCTGGGATTGAAAAACCAGCCCGCCACTGGTAATGTATGTGTTCCACTTTCCGAGAAAGGAGGGCCCGCTCCGCCAGGTCGCGGCCCTCACATAACGCTGCAGCCTCCCAGCAAGCGGCCTGCAGCCAGATCCGAGGCAGAGATTTCTCCATGACCACCGCCTTGGGATCAACCTCCGGGGGCACCAGCAGGCGGTGGATACGGAAATGTCCTGACCCTGGGGGTGGGGGGGTTGTAAGTATACACGCATGTGTATACATGCATGCATGCATACATACATAATGACATACATACAGACATGCACACATACATCCATACAAGCATACATACACACATACAAACATACATACATACATACGTACATACATACATACATACATACAGACAGACAGACAAACATACATACATACATACACGGAAACATACAGTCATACATACCTAGATGCATGCATGCATGTATGCATGCATACGCACCTGGTTGCATACACGCATAGAGTCATACACACATACATGTACACGCGTATACACATATACATATATATGTATATATAGATACAGACAGGCAGAGCATGCATACATGCATACATGCATATAGACATACATGCATCGTACGTACACACATTCATACAAACGTGCATAAACACATGCAACCCTACACCAATACATGCATGCATACATGCGTGCACACCTACCTGCTTAACTACGTACGTGCATGCATGCAAACATACCTGCATGCCTACATCACTACCGACCTATCTACCTACCTACCTACCTACCTCTCTATCTACGTAACTGCATACATGCAGACATAACTGCATACATACAAACATACAGACGGACAGACAGGCATACATACATAATTGCATTCATGCATACACACGTATCTACTTACACACATACATGCATACGCACATACATACATACCTACACGTATACATGCATGCATACATACGTACATACTTACATGCATGCATGCATACATACATGCATATCCAAATACATACATGCATGCATGCATACATACATGTAGGCGGTGCCCGATGCGGAGCGAACGCCCCCCCAGGTAATCTCTCCTGGGGGGGTTCGAGCTGGCGCCATTTCCGGTGCGAGCCTGCACGACCCCCCCCCGGTAAACACGACCTCCTCTGGTAGGCTGCACGAACCCCCCCGGTAAGGACGCAACCCCTCCGTAAGCGGCGCGCTCCCGGCACGCGCGAACCCCAGCCCCGACGCGCGAATCTTACCAGGACGGGCCGGAACACGGCGGCGGCATTGCATCCCAGGGCCGTGCCGGAACACGGCGGCACTGCTCTTCTCTACGCGGCCGTGCCGTCGACCCCCCACAGCGGCTCTTGGGAGTTGCGCCGCAGCCTCTCGTATTGTGCCCACGAGCCACCCCCCACTCCCACCCCATCACTCCCACAGGGGGGGGGGTGGAACCCAGGTTGACGCAGTGCGGCCTGCACGAAACCCCCCGGTAAAGCGACAGGGGAGGACCCAATGCGGCCTGCACGAACCCCCCCGGTAAAGCGGCAAAGGGGGGTGTTCTAAGCCGCTGACGGCACCCGGTGCGGGCTGCACGAAACCCCCCGGTAGTGCACGAAACCCCCCGGTAGTGCTGGGGGGGGGTTCGTGCCACGGCGCGCCGCCAACATACATGCATACACGCATACAAACAGACACATCTGCATTCTTCCTAAACACAACCATGCAAACATACATACACGCATACATACATACACACTTCCCTGCATGTCTGCATACATACGGCCCTACCCACCTACTGACCTAGCGACCTGCATCTACACATACATGCCTGCATGCATACACACATACGTATTCACCTGCACACATATCTATAGACTTGCATCCATGTATGCATATATACATACATGTAAATGATTGTACGCATACATGCACGTGTGCATCTATGTATCGTCTGTACGTGTGTGTATATGTGCATCTCTATAGTTTCACATGTCCACCGCCTGCCGAGGTCCCCGAGCATCGATATCTCCGGGGGTGGAACCCTGCCTCGAACTTGACACCGAGGCATCTGCCCATTGAATGCGGACCGCAAATCCTTTGGCATCTGTCCACGGAGGACCCACGACTCGGAATCACAGCACCACGCGTAGGTCGGGCCATGGAGCTTCCACCTCCACCTCCCCCTCCTCCTCCTCCTCCTCCTCCTCCTCCTCCTCCTCCTCCTCCTCCAGGCGGAAAGCGAAGTGTGCGGCGATGCCAAAGCCAGTACCTCAACCACCTATACTCGAGGGCACGCGAGGGGCGAGACGGGCGGGGAGCGTGCATCGACACCTCGCCGCGCAGGGTCAGCCGCGCGCGCAAGGGGGGTGGCGCGGGATGGGTGGGCGTGTAAGAATGCGGGGGGGGGCTTCTGAGAACGCAGGGTGCCTCTTAGAATATTCGGGCCCAGGGGCTTCTAAGAAGGCTCCGTTGAAGCTGGGAGGGCTTCTGATGAGGCCCCTGCTTTCTCAGAAGCCGCCCCCTCCCCCCTGCCCGCCTTCTGAAGAGGCCGACCCCCTTGCACCGCCCCCATCCCTGAGATCCGACGTAGCGAGAAGAATGCAACATCGTGAAAGATCACGCCGGGAGCCCTAGACCCCATCGATCTGTGAGGGCCCCGGGGCCCGTGGAAAAGCAAAAAACGCCCAGCAGCTGCAAAAAAACAATTGAGACGCCAAGATCTCAGGGTTGTGCGCGCCGCCAACAGGGGCGGGCTTGGCCAGGCCGGGAGGGCCTCTGATGAGGCTCCTGCTCTTTCAGAAGCCGCCCCCTCCCCCCCCCCCCCGCCCGCCTGCTCTCCCGCCTGCTGAAGAGGCCAGCCCCCTCGCCCCGCTCCCTGCATGCTGCGCGCCGCCAGCCTGGGGGGGTGGGCTGGGGCCAGGCGGGGCTGACATCCTTGAAGGGGCCCTGGGGCACACAAATCAATACACACAAATAACAGGATTCCCCATGTTTCCATATATTCTTGGCTTTTGCCTTCCCCCCCACTTCCCATATTTTCCCGTATGTTCCTGGGAGTCGACGATTACTTGTGTCTGTGTGTTTTTTCCCCTCCTGAATCCTGCCTGGCCTTCCCGGGCCGACCAGCCCCACCACCTTCAGACGAGCTGGCGCGCAGGCAAGACGGCGCCACGGCCAGTGTCCTCCGCCACGCGCGCCAGCTCGTCCGCATGGGCGCTCCGCACCTGCGCGGGGCGGCGAGTCGCGCGGCGATTGTTTTTTGTTGTTGTTGTTGCTGCTGCTGCTGCTGTTGTTGTTGCTGCTGCTGCTGTTGTTGTTGTTGTTGTTGCTGTTGTTGTTGTTGTTGTTGCTGTTGTTGTTGTTGGTGGTGGTGTTGTTGTTGTTGTCCTTTTTTTTTTCTCTCTCTCTCTCTCTCTCTATCTCTAGTTTGCCCCCTCCATTGGCAGGGGTGGGCCGGGGCCGGGGTTTCCGGACAAGCCTCTTCCCCAGATGCGACAGCCACTGCTACCTCCCCCCGCGGAGGATGTGACACTCTGCAGAACGAGATGTCTTCTCTCTCTCTCTCTCTTTCTCTCTCTTTCTCTCCCTAAGACGAAGCCAGGACGAGGATAACATCGGGTGATGATGAAGCAAGAATCTCTGAGATCCAGCGGCCCTGGAGGATGTCCAGGGCGCCGCGGCCTTCCCAGAGCGTTTCCGAACGCTCTGGGAGCGCTCCGGAACGCTCTGGAAAGAATTCATCCTCGTCGTAGACTCGCCCGACTCTCCCTCTCCCTCTTCCCCCCTCCCCCGAGATCCGACGTCACGAAAACTTCGGAGCATCGCAGAAATCACGACCGAAGCCCCAGAAGCCATTACTCTGCAGCGTCTTTCGCGCTTCAGATCGGTCTGCGAGGGGCCCGCCCTATGGTGAGGCGACATCGCCGAGCGTGCACAGAAACGAGGCCAAGATCTCGGGGCCCCTTCTCCTCCTCCTCCTCCTCCTCCTCCTCCTCCTCCTCCTCCTCCTCCTCCTCCTCTCCCCTCCTCCTCCTCCCTCCTCCTCCTCCTCCTCCTCCCTCCTCCTCCTCCTCCTCCTCTCCTCCTCCTCCTCCTCCTCCCTCTCCTCCTCCTCCTCCTCCTCCTCCTCCTCCCTCCTCCTCCTCCTCCTCCTCCTCCTCCTCATCATCATCCTTCTGGGGGCAGCGGGCGGCGCGCGTGCATCCCGCCGGTGCGCCGCTGCCCGCCCCCGCCGCCCCCGCGCGCGCGGCCCCCGGAAGGCCGACGTGCTCAGGGGGGTGGCGGCTTGGGCTCTGGGCGCGCGCCGTCGGGCTGGGCGCCCTCGCTCGAGCGGGAGCCTCCCCCGGGGGTTGCGTCCACCCGCACACGTGCACTGATGGGCCCGTTTTCCACCACCACCACCAGAAGTTGGAGGCGGAGGGGGTCCTCCTCCTCCTCCTCCTCCTCCTCCTCCTCCTCCTCATCCTTGTCCTCCACCTCCTCCCCCCCTCCAACTCATGGTGGTGGTGGTGGTGGAAGACAGGCCCATCGCGTACCTCTAGCCAGTCCGTCTCCCTCCGACCCGCCTACGGGTGCAGTGCGCTCGCGCGGCGCCGGCGCGCGCCAAGATTTTTAGACACCGCGTCGATCGTTCGGCCCTGCATCGATCGCGGCCTCGACCGCGCAAGGTTGAATTCGGCCGAGCCCAGTGGCGTCACCATGTCCATCGGCGCTCCCGCGTCGCAGAATTCAACCTTGACCGCCTTCGCCGGCGTCGCCAGCGCGCCAATGTCGCACAACACTAATTACCATATCGGTGTGTGGCTCGTCCGTCATCTCTCTCTCTCTCTCTCTCGCTCTCTCTCTCTCTCTCTCTGTCTATCTCTCGGGCGGGGCTAGGGCGAGGATGAATCCGTTCCAGAATGTTCCGGAACCTTCTCAGAACGTTGTAGAACGCTCTGAGAAAGCCACGGCGCCCGACACATCCTCAAGAACCGCTGGATATCTCAGAGATCCTCGACTTGTCCGTACCCGATGTTCCCTTCGTCCTAGCCTCGTCTTGCTCTCTCTCGCTCTCTCTCTCTCTCTCTCTCTCCTTGCTCTCTCTTCCTCTCCCTCTCTCTCTCTCTCTCTCTTTCTCCCTCTCTCTCTCTCTCGACATGGTATGTGGCCAGGGGGGGGGCGAGAGGGGGCGTACGCCGCCGAGGGGGCCTCGCGGAGCGTGGGGCGTGGGGCCCGCTCCCCCTCGGGCGGCGAGGCGTCTGCGGTCGGGAGCCTCTGGCCCCGGCGCCGCGCGGCGCCCCTTGGGCGGGCAGCGAGTCGCCCCGCTCCGCGCGGCGGGGTCGTCAAGAGGAGAGCCCCCGACCCTGCTGGCGCGACGAAGACGTAGCCTGGCTTCGGCCCCCGTGCCTCCGAGGGGGGAGCCGCAATCGACCACCTCCCCCTCCCGCCCCACGAGGCCCCCAAGAGCCCCCCAAGAGGCCCCAGGAGCCCCCCAAGACGCCGCCAAGGAGCCCCGAGAGGCCCCCACGAGGCCCCCAAGAGGCCCCAAAGAGCGCTCCAGGGCCGGCGGAATGAGCGAAGCGATTAGTAAAGACGTAGCCTAACTTCGGTCCCCGTTCCTGCATTACGGATCATAGATCTGGGCGGTCTGGCCTGGTGCATCTGCAGAATCGACCCCCTATCCCTGGTGTTCCTGGCCCTCCTTAACTTCAGTCCACTCCCGAAGGGTTGAGGGCCCTTGTATTGCTGATCACGGGAGGCCGGGAGTGGCTCGGACGTGGACGTCTGGGGACCGCGAAGTGGACAGCGTGTCGCGCTGAAGTGCGGTGGGCCAGAGCTGGCGGAGCGACACGCGATGGAAGAGTTCCCAGCCGCATCGCATGCGACCCGAGGCCCTCGGGAGCACGCCTCAAGATCGGTAGACGTGGATCAACCCGCGGCGATGAGGAGCGCAAGGGAGAATGTAGGGTCTGAGGAGAGCAGGGACACCTGACAGTCATCACAGGCCGCGCTGTGAGCTGCACGCACAGAGCGGCCCGCATTCCATGCAGGACGAGGCTGCACACGTCTTGCACTGCCGTATACTCCAGTCCGATCTGACTCTCACAAATGCTCTTACAGCCAATCCATTCCCGTCCAGCTTGTCTCTCCCAACGGGACGCTCCGCTTTCCAGCTGCAGGAGCGGTGCAGCAAAGAACACCTCGTTGAGAGCGTACTCGCTCTTGTACACCAGTTCCCGCTCGTGCAAGCACCTCGACGCCAATCAAAGTAAGACAACACGTCCCCTGAAAGACGCCGCACGGACAACCAACCAAATAAAGCTGCACACCTCAAACGCAATGATCCAAACTTCAGATATGGGCGCTCAGGTCCAGGGCTTCCGCGAGGACGTCATAGCAATGGCGCGCGTCCGAAGCGGAGCTTGTATCCTTGCGCACTCGCATGAGCCTGTAATGAGCCGCTTGGACTTTGAAAGACGTGCGTGCGCACGTGGCTGCTTATGATTATTGGACTTCGGAATTCTGTTTGGGGGGCATAAATGGGCAGTCTTTGGGCCCTCTTGGGATGCTCTCGGGCCGTCTTGGAGGTCTCTAGGGCCGTCTTGGCGCCGTTTTGAGAGCCTGAGCAGGACCTCTTGGCCTGTCTCGGGGCCCTCCTCGGGGTTGCCGGGGCCGTCTTGGGGCTACTGGCCCGAAGGTAGCTAGAATGGGCCAGAAATAGAACGTCTGTGATGCACGCTGGGTTGTACTTAACGCTGCCTTGTACCAAACGAAGTGCGTGCCTCATCATCGAGGGACCCAGCGGGTGCAGCTTCAGTGGGCAGTGTTCTGCACAGTGGGCAGCGTACATGTCATAACTGGTCGGATAGCTGCTGTTGCTTCGCCTCAGTCCTCGCCCTCCTCCTTCGCCTTCTACTATAGATCATTGTCCTCCTCCGCCGCCTTGTCCCATTTTTACTTGCTCTTTCCCCTCCTATTCCCCCTTCCCTTGAACTGCACTCCCTACCCAAGATCTTGGCCTAACAAAGATGCGATCAAGCGGGAACCTGCCTTGAAACCTCCTCCTCCCAATGCGACCTCTACTGCTCCTCATCCACCTCCGCCTCTCACTTTCATTTCGGCCCCCTTACTCCTCCTCAACTGATCCATTCCTCCCGATCCGTCTCCTCCTCCTCCTCCCGCACATTGTCCTCCCCCTCCCGCTCCACATCATCCTGCTCCTGCTGAACCTCCTCCTTCTCCTCCTCCTCCTCCTCCTCCTCCTCCTCCTCCTCCTCATCATCATCATCATCATCATCATCATCATCCAGCTCTTCCTCCTCCTCCTCCTCCTCTTCGTCCTCCTCCTCCATACTCTGCCTCTTCCCCAGCTCCCCCCTCCTGTTCTTTCATGCTCCTTTCCCTCCTCCAACGACGCTTGCTATTCCTTTTCCTCCGCCTCTTGCTGACCATGCAAACGTTCCCTCTAAAGTCACCACCGCTGCTTCTGCCACTGAACTTCGTGGGCATGCATCACCTGATCAAGAAATCATCGACATGAACGGGCCGCGGGCGGGCCGCAATGCTTAAGCAGACGCGGCCAGACAACGCCTCAACTCCTAAAAATGGCGACGACATATTTTCAGCACCGCCAGAGAAGTTGAACGGATCAACAACGCAACAGATTCCGCTTCGCTCTCCAACGCTCGCATCAACAATCACGGCGGAAATTATGGATCAGAAAAAAAAAAACGGCCTGGCTGGGTCCTGTGGATTAGTCGCCGCGACGCTCCTGGCGATCTCTGCTCCTGGACGCCCGATGGCGATTTCGACCTACCCCTTTAGCTCAGCCGCTGCCCTTCGCAACAAGCTGGAACACACACACACATACACACAGAGACACACAGACACACATGTGGTGGCGCGCAGAAGGGGCGCATGGGGAGGGGGGAAGGCTTCTTAGAAGGGGGCTGCTTCTTAGAAGGCGCTGGCCTTACATCTATAGATGCGGACTGCGCCTTATAAGAAGCAGGGGTGCCTCTAAGAAGCCTTCCCCTCTCCTCCTACCCCCCTCTGCGCGAAGCTGACACACACACACACACACACACACACACACACACACACACACACACACACGCACACGCGCACCCGCACACGCACACACACATTCACACACACACGCAAACGCACACGAACACGCACGCGCACACGCACACGCACACGCACACGCACACGCACACGCACACGCACACACCACACACACACACACCACACACACGCACACACACACACGCATGGCTGGATTCTCGTGTGGGGCTCGCTTGCTGGACACACCCGCGGGGAGCCGTCGCGCCCCGGCCGCACGAGGGCCGAACGGCGACCGCGCACGTGCGCCCAGCTCTCGCCCGGGCCGGTCGCGCCACGTGCCCCCCGGCCCCACTCGACAAACGCGTTCCACCGCTCGTGAAGTATCCGCTCGCACATCGCCGGGATGCGCCGCAGGGGATCTGCGACCCCATTCCTCGAGGCAGCGCTGGACTTTTTGTTGTCGGACGGTTGCGATTGGGCATTTTGCGAACCACGCTCGGTGGCCCCCGGCAGACCACAAAGCACACACGACCCGCGGGCGCAGCGCGAGGCGGAGCGCTCGGGCCGGAACCTCCCGTCATTACGAACTGCTTCGCTCGCCGGCGCCCCGAACGCAGCCGCAGAGTCGTCGTCTGGTGGCCGGGCCACAGCTCGGGTCTCCAGAGGCCGTCCCGGAGAAGCCGGGCAGCCCTGGGCGCCTCTGGGCGAGGCGCAGCTGCTGGAGAGCACCCCGAGGCGGGTAAACCGCCGAGAACCTGCCACGAAATGCGGGGCCCTGATTTTCTTAATGCGGGCTCCCCAGAAGTTCCGACCCTTCCCCCAGGACCGGCTTTCCATCCCCAGATGCCAGCAAGGGTCAAACAACTCTCGCAATGATTTTTGTTTACTGGCATGTCTGCGTACAGACATGTGAGACATGACTCGCGCTTAGGGGACCCCCGAAGACCTTTGCAAGTGGCATTAAGTTGAGAGGTCCAAAAAATTAGGGACAAGGGGGCCTTCCCAGCAGGTGTATCAAGCTAAACCACTCAGACTGACGATCCTGAATGCAGAGACGCGGGGAACCCGGGATCCCAGCCAGCGACCAACATCGGCGGGAATATTTCGCCAAATCTTTCAATATCAGCCAGAGTTGACTCCAAATAGACAGGAGGACAGGAGGACGACGAGAGGAGGATGGGAGGAGGACGGAAGGAGGACGAGAGCAGGACGGGAGGAGCAAAATCAAGCAAGCGCAGGCAAGCAAGCGGAAGCGAGAAAGCACAAGCGAGCAGAAACAAGCAAGCAAGAGCCAGCGATCAAGTGCAAGCAAGCAAGGGCAAGCAAGAGCAAGCAGGCGATAGCAAGCACGCAAGAGCAAGCAAGCAAGAGCATGCAAGAGCAAGCAAGGGCAAGCGACTCATAGGAATCCATAGGAATCCATAGGACTCGACATTGGAAATAGCTGGGGGGTGCCATTGGAAATAAGGGGGGGCCATTGGCAAACGGGGGAGGGGGGAAGGGGGGGGGGGGGCATTGGAAATAAGGGGGGGTGCCATTGGGAAAAAGGGGGGGAGTGCTAAAGACCAATTACGTATGATGAGCTAGGACTCCTATAGGGCAAGCCTATTTGGAGAATAAGCGTAGGCATAGGAGTTAGGGGAGAGGCATGGGCATAGGCATGGGCATAGGCATGGGCATAGGCATGGGCATAGGCATGGGCATAGGCATGGGCATAGGCATGGGCATAGCCATAGGAATTGTTGGAGGGGCACTGGTAGGGACCAATTGGCAGGGCTTGAGTGAGAGCTCCTACACAGGGCAGGCCTGTCTGGAGAACCTCCGCTGGGACCCCAGGCCGTGCAGGCACTGCCCGGGGAGACAGCACCCTCCCACGGAGCTCCGCGCGCGGCGGGGACCGCCCCGCGCCGCCCCCCCCGCGGCGCCCTCCGAGGCCCCCGCTCCTGCTCGGAGGCCCGGAGCTCCGACGCCAGCGCCGCGAGGCGCCGCCTCGCGGCCTCGCCGCGCGCGTGGACGGCGGCGGGGCGGCGCTCGGGGACGGCCCGGGCGCCCCGGGGCGCCCCCGCCCTCCCCGTGTCGATCTCGGATCGGTTCGGATCGAATCGGGATCGAGAGGCATCGCTCTTTTACCTCCCGGGCGCCCCGGCTCGAGATCGACACCCCGGGCGGGAGCCCCGCCGTGCTCTCGAGACGCACAGGCGTCGTGGCCAAAGGCTTTGGGCCCTCTGCGGCCTCCGGGAGCCCTCGCAGGGCCCCGGACCGTCAGCAGACGACGGACGCGGGATCTGCAATGGAGCCATCCCTGCGGCCACGCCTGGTCGCGCTGTCGTCGGAATAAGACGTGCTTGCAAAGAGTGGGCTGCGCCGAAAGGGCGATGGTGGCAGAACTGGAAGAGCACAGCGCAACAGCAGGTCGTGTGCAACTCGGGGTGAAAAAGCCGGTCCTGGGGAAAGGGTCGGGGCTTCCGGGGAGCCCGCAAGGAAACGTTCAGGAGTCAGGACATCGCACGTCTGGGAACAACTCAGTCGACGGACAACTCTTCACCACTTACGGCCTGGGGCCCTTAGTGGCCCTCGGGGCCGTCACCAAACGGCTCAGGATGAGAAGCCGGTCGGGGGGTTTGGGCTCGCCGCGTCCTCAGGCACCGCAGCGGCGGCGAGACGGCCGCGGCGGCCCCGGCGACACGTCACGCCATTGCAAGCGGAAGGCGCGTCGCTCAGCTTCGCGGGCCGGAGTCTGGGAGATGCCCGGAGCGTTGAACGCCTGGGGGCTGGGAGGTGGTTATACACACACACATGTATATATAAATCGCTCGTGCGTGACACACACATATGTATATATATGCATACATGCATACATACATACGTACATACATACATACACATACACATACACATACACATACACATACACATACGCATACACATACGCATACACATACACAGATACATATAACTATCAATATACATATACATATATATATATATTATACATATACATATACATGTACATATACATATATACATATATACATATATACATATATATACATATATATATATATATATTATGTGTATGTATGTGCCGCGCCGGGGGCGTGGTGGGCCAGGACCGGCGACGCGACACGCTAAACGAAGCTTCTCGACTGCACACGTCGTTGCTTTCTAATGGTGCTCATGTCTAATTGTGCTCGTTTCTAACTGTTCCTGGCCCCCTAGTGGCCAGGAAGAGGCCCAGGATGGAACAATCTCAGACATGAAAGGATCTTGCCCCCCCAAAAAAATATCAAAGAACTTTAGACATGAACAATGTGTGTAGTTGGGGCATGCCCAAGCGTAACCCCGCGACGACGTATCCCCAGTGAGGTATCGCAGCGGCTGCGCCTCCAGCCGCGGCACGCGTGCAAAGTGCAGCCCGTGGGCGAGCCGAGCGGGGCCCCGAGGCCCCCCAGCTGGGGTGAGTCTGCTTTCGGGTTCGTTTGGCCTTCCCTGCGGCAGCGATGGCAACGACGACGGCGTGTGCGATGGCGACGGGGCGACAGCGGCGACGGCGTCAGAGCGCCCCCGATCGCTTCTGTCCCAGGCCTATAAGCGGCTAGCCTCTAGCCAGACGAGGGCGTGCACTGTGCGCCTGGACGTGCAGCGGGTGCCAGGGGCCTGCCTCCACACGGGGCGCCTGCTCAGCTCGTCCACGACCCGCACGCGCGCCTGTCTGGGGGATGGCTGCCGCCCGTCCTGCTTAGCGCCCTGACTTTTAGCGCGGGCCCACATCACGAAGTGAGAAGGAGCAGGCCTTCTCAGAAGGCGGCGGGGCTTCTCAGACGAGTTGTGCGTCCTCGGGGGAGGCTTTGAAAATTTGTTTAAGGCCCGAGGCCTTCCGAGCCTGCTGAGAAGGCACGCTCCTTCTCACTTCCCCCTCAGGCTCGCCGCCGATAAGCAGAAGACCCCTGGTTCAGAGCTTCCCCTGCTCCGTCCCGCTGCATACCTCCCACGTCGAGGCGCCCCGCTCCTGTGCCCGCCCACCGGTTGGAGGCGGCCAGGGGGGGGGGGAGCTCCGAACTGCCCTGAGGCCTGAGAAGGTAAACACACATGTGTACCATCTTGAATAATGATTATTATTATTGTTATTGTTCTTAGTTGTTCTTATGATTGCTTTTACTATTACTACTATCATTGTCAGTATTCTTAGTATTGTTATTGTTAGTGTTATTGTTTTTGTTCGTATTATTAGCATTCGTATTTTTATTATTAGTAATAGTATTACTGGCCGGAGCCGGTGCTGGGCCACCTCTGGCCCCTGGCCGGCTCCGTCCCGCCGAGCCCGGCGGCCGAGTGGGCTCTGCGGCCGACTGCACTCGGAGGGAGAGCCCCCACCCTGGACTTATGACTTATGTCGGGCGTGTGCCCCTACAGGGGGATTTTCGACGAGAAATAAAAAAAACATGAAAAATACACCATAGCTGTCAAACAATACAAAAAAATAGTTCCCAGACTATTTTGTTGATGATCTTTGGACTATGTTGGGGGTAGTTTTTACTTTCCCTCGAAAATCCCCCTCTAGGGGGACAGGCCCGGCTTAACCCTGGACCTCCTCCACCTCCCGAACCTTCCGCGCAGCAGGTATCGACGAGTCGCGGCCGCGGCGAGCCCGCGGCGGCCGCCGCTGCGGCCCCGACGGCGGCCGCCTCCGTGGTCACGCTGGCGGCGGCCTCTGCGCGGCATCCACCGTCCGGAAGGTGCGGACGGTGGAGGTCGAGGGGCGCCCCGCAGGCAGTCTCCGGGCCGCTGGCGGTCCGGGGCGGGTGACGCCCGCCTCGGCGATCCATGCAAGGCACTGCAACTATCTGTCACGCAGAGCGAGCGAGAGAGGCGGATAATGATGAGGATGAGGATGGAGATAAGGAAAATGATTTGATGATGATGCTGATGATGGTGATGTTAATGATGATGATGATGATGCTGGTGATGATGATGATGATGACGATGATGATGCTGATGATGATGATGCTGCTGATGATGATGATGATGATGATGATGATGATGATGATGATGATGACGAGGAAGACGGGGAAGAGGAGGAGGAGGAGGGTGTGAGGAGGAGAAGGGAGGAGAGAGGAGGGAGGAGGGGGAGACACAGTCCGTCCGAGAGAAGCGGCGCCCGCCTCCTCCTCGGCGGTGCACCGCGCCCGCAGGCGCTGCTGCTCCTCGGTTGCCTCGCGGAGCTCCCCGGCGATCCTGGTTCCAGGGGAGGGGTGTGCGGCGGCCGCGGGCCGAGAGGCCTCCCTTTCGGTAGGCCCATGGCGGCAAGGGCGCTCGAAGACGCGCACGCACACCGTTGTGGGCGGGCACAAATCGGCCTCGGTTGCGCGTAGGTCTCGCGCGCGACAGGGCGACGCGACCACGGCCTCGCTGCGCAGGCGTGATTTCAAATATTGCTTCGCTGCGCAGACGCGACCGCGACCGCGCCGTCTTTGGCGACACAGCATCCAAAGATTGTGCCGTTTGTTCTTGACGGGCCCAAGTGCACGACGCCGACACCACGGCGAACCCATGGCAACAAAAACAGCAAGCCCACGGCAAGCCCTGCGCCCGCGGCGGCGTTTGCCCTGGTGGCCGCGGCGCCCTCCACATGACGGAAGGCCGCGCGTCCGAACACACGGCACGGCATACGTTTCATGTCCTGGTTGTTCGTCGTCCACGCTGTTTTCCCATGATATTCCATAATCTCATCGACGTCGACGACTGTCTGGGTCTGTGCATATTTCTCCCTCCTGACGCTCGCGCTGCCACTGCCTCTGCGCCCCTTGGACTGCGCGCGCACAGGGGGCCAGTCGGGAGGCTACTCCCAGGATGTCTTCGTGAGAGCGATAAAGGGCTATGAAGCCCGATCGCTGGGCCACTGAGCCAGGCCGGCCCAAACGAGGCACACAATTAGACCCGACCCCGGCCAGGAAATATCAGGGGGCAGAATAATTCGGGCAGGTGGCAATGGGGGTGACCTACATGGAGGGTGAAGAAAAGGCCCTGCAAGGGTCCTTTTAAGGCACCTTTTGCGCTACTCTGCTGGCCCCAAATGGGCCCTAAAGGACCCTTGCAGGGCCTTTTCTTCACCCTCCATGTAAGTCACCCCCCATTGCCACCCGCCCCACTCATAAGTGACAGGGCCGGACTAGGCCGGTTTCCAACCACGGATATACCAGCGCCCACGCTGACCACAACCGCCTAGGAGTTGCATCCGACCAGGGGGTGGTGCGAGGGGGGCGGCTGCTCTTGGAAAGCGGGGAAGGGGGCTTCTCAGAGGCCAGGCGCCTCCTCGGAAGGACCCAAAGGCTCCTGGGAAGTTACCCTCTGGGCCATAGCGCGGGTTATGCCCGCCCTTCCCCCCGCCCTCCCCGCATGCCGTAACGCTCCCCTCCCCCCCAGTGCGTACCCAGCGCTGCCGCAGTGCGTCCAGCACCACAGTTTGTGGTGCCGGACGCACACGGTGGTGGTGGTAGAGGGGGGGGGGGGCGTTATGTTATGCCCCCCCCTCACCCCCCCTTACGCCCGCCATCGCCGCGAATGAAAACTAGCCTGGCGAATGACCTAACCACATGTAGTTTTGAATACCGCAATTATGGGTATCGTTTTCGGTGGAGCTCCCCATGGGGTCACGAAACGCTGCACTGGGTGGGGGGGACGCATGCGAAGTTTGCCACTGGGGCCCTCGGTGGAGCTCCCTATGGGCCACGCAACGCTGCACTGGGTGGGGGAGACGCATGCGGACTTTGCCACTGGGGCCTCCAGCGGAGTTCCCTATGGGCAACGAAACGTTGTGCTGGGTAGGGGAGACGCATGCGGATTTTGCCATCGGGGCCTTCGGTGGAGCTCCCCATGGGCCACGAAACATTGTGCTGGGTGGGGGAGACGCATGCGGACTTTGCCACTGGGGCCTTCGGTGGAGCTCCCTTTGGGCCACGAAACGTTGTGCTGGGTGGGGAAGATGCATGCGGACTTTGCCACTGGGACCTTCGGTGGAGCTCCCTATGGGCCACGAAACGTTGTGCTGGGTGGGGGAGACGCATGCGGACTTTGCCACTGGGGCCTTCGGTGAGGCTCTCTATGGGGCCACGGATCGGTGGGGCTCCATATGGGGCCACGAAACGCTGTACTGGGTGTGCGTGACGCATGCGGGCAGTCCCATTGGGACCTTCGGTGGGGCTCCCTATGGGGCCACGAAGCGCTGTACTGGGTGTGCGGGACGCATGCGGGCGGTCCCACTGGGACCTTCGGTTGGGCTCCCTATAGGGCCACGAAATGCTGTACTGGGTGTGCGGGACGCATGCGGGCGGTCCCACTGGGGCCGTCGGTGGGGCTCCTATGGGGCCACGAGGCGCTTTACTGGGTGGTGCGTGGCGCATGCGGGCTGTCCCACTGGGACCTTCGGTGGGGCTCCCTACTGGGCCACGAAACGCTGTGCTGGGTGGTGCGTGACGCATGCGGACTTTGCCACTGGGGCCTTCTGTGGAGCTCCCTTTGGGCCACGAAACGTTGTGCTGGGTGGTGCGTGACGCATGCGGGCGGTCCCACCGGGGCCTTGGTGGAGCTCCCTATGGGGCCACGAAACGCTGTGCTGGGTGGTGCGTGACGCATGCGGGCAGTCCCATTGGGACCTTCGGTGGAGCTCCCTACGGGGCCACGAAGCGTATGAAGGGTGTACTGAAACGGGTGATGATGATGATTGTGATGGAGGAGAGAGGTGGGGGAGGAGGAGAGGAGAGGAGAGGAGAGGAGAGGAACGCGGGGACCGTCTCTTCAAAACGAGGACCCAACACCACAGGATGGTTGGGAACAATGCTCTTCAGAGGCCACCTGCCTTCCTGGAAGCCCCCCAGTGGATTCTGCGAAGGCCGCCCCAATCGAAACCACCTCCTCGTGGCGCGCTGGCTGGCCCCCCCTTCGCATCCCGTCCTCCCCCTTCCCGTCCCCATCCCGAGCCTGTTCCTGTGCCGGACCTCGTGCCCGTTTACAGGGCGCGACCGAGGCAAGCCTGGAATCCTGGAACCCCCCGGCGCCATCGCTCCCGCCATCCGCCCCTCCCTCTCCCCAACCTTCCTCCCGCAACGCGTCCTCCCCACCACTCCCGCTCTGCTCCTCACCGCGGGAACGACCCTGCGGACCCATTCCTCGCTCTGCACTGCACTCCTCACCCAACAGCCTCCGCTGGCCAACTGTCTCGGGGGAGCCTGTGGGGAACCCAAGACATCCACAGGTCCCCGTCCAGACCACGCGCGACATCATCTGGAACTCCGCCGAGCGACGCCGCCCCGCTGACGGCTCGCCCCGAGCTGAAAGGGCAAGTCCGACAGCACAGCGGGCGGAGGCGTGCTCGAAGATCCGGCTCTGGGGTGGCGCATCCCGCGACTGTGGCGGGCACGTGAACGGAGAAGAGATCCTGTGACTGCGGCGGCCATACGAAGCACGGAGCCCATGCCACCAACACTGTCCTGCCCCGCCTGGCCCCCACGGATGAGGAGGGAGAGATGGGGACGAATGCCGGGGGAGCGAGCCACACCACTCAAGGGCAGCACACCTCGTGCGCTCGCGCGAGATATGCCCTCCTCTCCACCAGCGATGGCGGTGCATGGGTGGGGGCGGGAGAGAGTGGTCCCTAGTGTTCGGCTTGGCAAAGCTGCCGCCTCACTGACGACGTGTTCAGCAGCGCGGCCAGGGTGGTCCGACCGCGCGATCGGACACAGCCGCCTGCGCGGTCGGCGCTCTCACCGTCGGCGCCGACAATGCCAGGGGCTGAACGGTAACCGCATGCTCGCGATAATAAAGCATTCCTCCTTACCCCCCTCACCCCCAGAGTCATGAGTATCCATGGGGTACGTACATTTCATAGGTAGCATCATCCGCATCCTGTGTTATCATCATTACCCTCTCGTATACCCCATTCTGGCACACCCCTCGCACGGCTCGTGGCCCCATGTGGTGCCCTAGAGCTATGCCTGCTATATCGCGGTGAGCATAGGACTTCGTAAACGAAAGAAGTTGGATGGGGCCGAAACAGCCAAGCCGCCTCCCCTCAATCTGGGCGCGAATGCTACACCGACTACACTTGACGCGCAGAGCATCAGGTTCCGTGCTCGCCCCACCCCATCCAGGGAAGGCCCCGCCAAAAACAAGAGTGAGGAGGATTTCTCGGGCGTCGTGCTCCTACATCCGTACACCGTACATGCTTACATGCGACATGCTGGGAAAATCTTGCGTCATCCCCCGGGGCCCCGAACTGTAGTATCCCCATGGTGTGATTATCACCGGCACAGGGCTGATGGCCCGCGAGGCTGCGAGAACGCAACGGGACGAAAATCTGAGGCTGTCTGAGGCTCTGGCATGCAGCGGCTCCTTCCTACGCGTTGTGCCCTACGAGGCCGTTGGCAGTAACAAGCTTGGACGCTCCTTCGTCGTGATCTTTGACCGCGCGAGTTTTAGAGAGAGCATTGAGCTTCGGTCGGCGCTCCTGGAGCGTCGTCCGAAACTGTAGCTGTCGCGAGGCACTGCTCGTCTGGACTGTCTCGGACCTTCCCCCAGCCCCTGGGCTCGAACCCTTCCTGTCACGGAGGGGAACAACAGAACGCAAGTGCAGTAGGAGCTCGACCTCGAGAAACCTTCCACAAGACAGCTAACCCTGAGACCCCAGGACGTCCATGGACTTTTTGGTGTGGGAACGTCACGCTTTCCATAGCAAACCATGGAAGCCAGAGAAACCCAGGGCACCCTGGAGGCAAGCAGAGAGTTTCTTGGCATGGGCTTCCACTGTATGCCTAAGCATGCCCGAACGACAAGGACATCGGGGGAACGGGTTATCGCAGCGCAGCCATTCGCAAAATGGTGTGCGCACTTTGAGGGCAGACGCGCCGGGCGGGGACGATGTGTGCCCACCGCTGCCATGCAGCGATGGACGGCTAGTCCTCTTGCGTGCACGCTCATCTAAAGGGGCCCTGGGGCACACAAATAAAAAGACACACGTCCCAGGATTCCACATATTTTCATGTATGTTCTGGGTTTCTGTCTTCCCCCCCACTTCCCATATGTTCGCACATTTTCCGGGGAATCGGCGAGCATCTGTGTCTGTGTGTGTGTTTGTCCCTCCTGATCATCGCACGCGCACGCGTCGACGACAAGCTGCGTGCGCGACGCCGATCCCTCCTCCTGCCACTCCGCCTCATCATCTCTTGCACGTGCCGTCTGACCCCGAAAAGTGTTCGATGGGCACAGATCACTTTGTGCCGCATCGCAGGGTATCAGCATCGCAGGGTATACGCCTCTCCCTCCCTGCCTCCCGCCTCCCTGGCATCCTTCACCGCCCGCCTCCCTGGCATCCTCCACCACTGCTGTGCAGCGATGGACGGCTAGTCTTCCTGCGTGCAGGCTCATCGCACGCGCACGCGTCGACGACAAGCTGCGTGCACGAAGCCGATCCCTCCTCCCTGCCACTCCGCACTCGTCTTAAATCGGGCGTGTCCCCCTGCACGGGGACTTTCGACGAAAAACGAAAAATGCGAAACATGCGCAACAAATCACAAATACGCACAAGCGTCCCCAGACTAGTTTAAAAACTATTCTTGGATATTCCCCCTGTAGAAGGGGCAGGCCCGACTTAACGCTCGTCGTCACTCGCACGTGCCGAAGGCTTGGTCCTCAGGTTGCGCTGCTCCAGCTCGTGGCCGCTCAGCTCCTCTGCGTGGGCCTGCCGCAGGGACTCGACGGCCTGCGCGTCAGGAGACGGGTCAGCGAGGAGGAGGAGGAGGAGGAGGAGGAGGAGGAGGAGGAGAAGGAGGAGGAGGAGGAGGAGGAGGAGGAGGAGGAGTAGTGGAGGAGGAGGAGGAGGAGGAGGAGGGGGAGGAGGAGGGGGAGGAGGAGGAGGAGGAGGAGGAGGAGGAGGAGGAGCGACAACTCAGACGAAGACCTTGCCAGATCAGCAGGGCGAACGAACACCGCGGAGCAGAACGTGCGGCTTGCCTGCTCCCTTCCCCTCGCAGCCTCGCAGCGCATTTGCATTTCCGGCGCCTTCTCCGAGGTGGAGAAGCGCGGCTCGTCAGGCCAGAATTGCCGGACTGGTATACGTGGGGAGCGGGACACGAGGAGACGGGTGACACTGCGGGTGTGGCGACACGGGGCGGGGAGCAGAGCGGCAAGTGGAATGCGCGCACGAGAAGCCAAACTCTGGACGCAATTGCCACTGGCTCTGCAGAACGGGCAGGCACGGGACTCTTGGAGCTGAGAACCTGACCTTTCAGGAGTAAGGCTTCATTTCCAGAGCCCGTTCACCTGGCACTTCAGGAGTAAGCCTTCAATGCCCGTCTCATCATCGTTTTACCGATCCCCATCCCCAGAGAGCCGAGGCTCCCTGACGCCACCACCCTGCTGTCTCTAAGTGGGGATAAACGCTGCAGAATCCTTCGGAAACGGCATCTATACCCACCTAAGGGGGTAGGTCGGCCAGCGGGGAAAACGCTTTCCCGACGGGAATGGGGATTAGCCTATGAATGCTGACCGCTAGGACCATTCACACAGGGAATGCGACTTGGCGCCGACATCGAATGCCCGAGACATCGCCGCCTTCACTTCAGACAGCACCATGTACGCACCACTGGTTCAGATATACAAGCCCAGAGGCCCAACTGCGTGGTATACCTCTCCTGCGGTGTCGTATGACAGATTCTACCACCTGCTGCACGCATCTCTGAATGGCAATACAGAGCATGACAGGATGGCAATCGAACAGGCACTCAAGTTCTGATGCACAAGAGCGGGGCGGCATGCACAATCGCAATCAAGCAAGTTGCAAACAATCGTACGCACGCACACAACAAACACATCATGCAAATAATCAAACTCCCATCATGCAGCAAAGCAAACCGTAACAAGCGCGCAGTACTAATCGGCCAACGCCACCAAGCAAGAGCAACCACATCGCCGACACCAACACAGCAAGACGCATAACGTAGGCAAGCGATTTAAGCAATCGCAGCTAGGAACAACTCAGCCAAAATGCCTGCGGTGGAAATCAACCACCAAACAAGCAGTCTCAGAAACGCAAGCATCTTCAATCAACGTACACCAAACTGGCACACATCATAACAAAACCAGTAACGGCATAAGCTGTGTAGGTAGACGAAGCCATGCAAAACATCAACAGCAGGCACAAACATCAGATCAACGAACCAGTCGGCGGCGATATCAAGTGTGTTACTATCAGCGAGCACATCTGACAAACAATCGAACGCACTGGTAAGCAGGCCAACCCCACCAACACAGCAACCACTATTAAGTAAGTGCGCCACAATATAGCAAGCAATCACAAGCATAAGCGAATCAAAGGCAAGCAATTGGCCAGTAGAAAGACTGCACAACACCATCCAAACAATACTAATCATTAACACTGAACACTTAACACGTACACGAGGATACGCAAACGCTCAGTAGCCATACAGCGTCAGCTATGGCGAGCAACAGTAGCGTTAGCATCGCAAGGCCAACTCTGAAGTAAAGGGCTGGAACGTTCAACAACACGAATGCCCCCAAACACCATGCATCAAATACCAGCTACTGTTCGCAAGAAAGTCAGCTAACATTGATAGACACTGTGAGTTCAGTGAAGATCAAGTGAGTCCAAAACGTTTAAACGAAATTCAAACAACATCCCCGTTTCAGAAAAGTTAGGCTCGAGTTCGGAGGCATTGAGCATGTCAGCAAGACGCAATATCATGCATTTCGAATGAGGTATGAAAAAGCGTCAAACAACTCAAACCGAATGAACAAGAGTTCTGCAACCAATAACATGATTAGTGGTTGCATTGTTCAAGCGAGGTCGTACGATCCACCGCACAGCATTAGCCATCGAGGAATAGCAAGCAAATGCCGAAGCGACTCGTATTCGCGTCCAAACTCGCAACGGACCGCGTACGAGACCATATGAGAAGCACGGACGTCGGCTTCGGATTTGGAACGGACCTTGGGCGTCGGAATGTTGGAACCATCTGTAAAGCCTGGCACCCCCGACCCCTGGACGCTCCTGCTGGCTCATACCGGCTTCTCGCACCCTGACCACAGGCCTCAGAGCCGTCAAAATGAACCCCGCGCCTTGGTGAGCCCAATGCTCCGCCCTGAAGCCCTCCTCGTGGTGGTGTCTTTGGCCGTCTTGGGGCCCTGGGGGGTTGGCCCACGAGCACCAAATCACCAAACACCCAACATGAGTTCTGCTTCAAAAGAGCACTGGACAACCTAAGAGGCCACTCAAACCGCCCCAGGACAACCCCCACGGCCAAATACGAAACATGGAAATATTAAATATCAGTTGGACCGAATCTCCCCGACAAACGAAGTAACTCTATACTCAAGCAAGCCTGCTGGAGAACGGGCCGTCATACGTAGCCGCTCGCGCGAGTGTGCCCTGAAAGAGTATCTCCCCAAAGCTTGATGCCACATGGGTGGTCGATCCGTCCTCCTCCTCCTCCTCCTCCTCCTCCTCCTCCTCCTCCTCCTCCTCCTCCCATCACCCATCACCGTCCCCTCCAAGCATCTCGAGTATGGCCTTCCCTGGGGTCTGGCTGGCGGGGTAGATGCCTGCGGCTCCAGCTGCTCGTGCTCCGGATGCTGCCCGTGCTGCTTGCCCTCCGCCCTCCCCCCAAGACCGCCCCGCCGTCGACTCAGACAGACCAGGTCGAGGATAAATTCGGTGGAGGATGAGCCGAGAATCTCCGAGATCCAGCGGCTCTGGAAAGGTGTCTGGGGGACCGCGGCGTTCTCAGAGCGTTCCCGAAGGCTCTGAGAGCATTCCGGAACGCTCTGGAACGGACTTATCTGCGGCCCAGCCCCCGGCCGGTCGACCCCAGCTCGCAGGGACCCCTGAGAAATTGTGTCAGATCCTCCCTGTGAGGCGGGGGCGTACAGTCGGACCCAGGACAGAAGAACATCCCTCAAGAACATGGGATCCTCCGCCAGCCAAGACACACAGAACATCCAAGGGTACCCTCCCCAGGGTGCACAATAACATCCAACAAGCACGAAGAACACTAGGGTACCCTCCCCGAACCGACCTCGATCTTATACATCGGTCCGACTGTATCCATAATGTACCACACCCTGGGGGATTGAGACTGAGCGTCGGGGGCGTCGGCAGGCGGTGGGCGTGGACAGAATCTGGCCCCCCGGAGCCCCAATAGATCTGGAGAGTCTTCTCGCCTCGGAGTCCCCTCGAATCTGGCGCTGCCAAACAGCTTCGACATCGCCGCGCAAAATCACCACCGGAGCCCTGGTCCCCATCTTCTCGCGTCTTTTTTGACGCCGGGTCCATCTGTGAAAATCCCGGGGCGCGAGACAGGGCGAAAGCGCCCGTTGGGCCTTGGGAAAAAATTGCAGCGCCAGGATCTGAAGGCCTTCCCCGCCTCGGAACCATCCCCGCTGCTCGCCAGCAGTGCGCTCCCCCCCCCCTTCTCGGACGCGGCCTCACCGACCCCCAGCAAACCATCCCCCTCCGTGACGTCCCCCTCGCCTCACGAGCTCCCCTCCGGCTGCACACAGACGCCCTGGGGCGAGGCGAGGGGGGCGTCACGGAAGGCCTGGGGGGGCGTCACGCATACGTCACACATACGTCCTGGCGGGGCGTCAAGGAAGGCCTGGGGGCCTGCGGGCCTGGGGGGGCGCTGGGGCGAGGCGAGGGGGGCGTCGCACATACGTCCTGGGGCGAGGGGGTGGCCTGCTGGGGATCGGCGAGGCCGCCTCTGACCCTGGGCCCGCGCCGCGGCCTGCTGGCAACGCAGCTCCGCGTTCGCCTGCTCCTCGCGCGGGGGCGCTCCGACCCCCACCCGCCCCCGGGCCCTCGGCACTGGAGGGGACTTGCGCACCGTTTACCCGACCCCCACCCCCAGCGGCGTGGCCTGGGCCCCACTGGCCGATTTACACCCCTAGAGGGGGATCAAGGCCGTCCCCTTCGGGGCATGCAGCGCCGCAGCGCTCAGGTCGTCTTCTCGACGAAGCCTTCTCTCAAAGATGATGTCGGTGCGCCAACTCTGACTCCCCAGAGCCAATGTGAAACCGTGTCAATGCTCGGCCGCCGAGGATCGAAGGAGCAGGCTTCTGGAGCAGCCCTCTCCTCCACTGGCCCCGATCTACTGTCCTCTTGGGCCGGGCCGTGCTGGCCGACGCTGGCACCCGAGCTCAGGCACGCGCCAGCACGTAACTATTACGGGCCCGTGGCTCTGGCGCGTGGGCGTCAGATCCACAGCCCGGGAGAGCACCCCCCGCAGCATGAAGCCAGTGCCGCCCGATGCGGCGACGGGACGGGCCGATTCCGCACAGGCACGGGGGAATCGGCCGCCAAGCCGCGCTTCCTCGACACGCGCGAGCGCACGCCCGGGAGAAGGCCGAGATCTCTGGAGAGCGCTTTTGCCCCTGCCTCGAGCCTCTGGGCTCCCCTGGATGCGTCACGCAGCCTCGTCTCTGCCAGGCGGGTGTGTGGCGACAGAAACCAGGCGCGAACATCTGTCCTTGTGTGACCGCGCCCGATTGTTGTTCGAACGCGCCAGAGGGTACCCGAGATTCTTGGTGAGAACTCAAAAACAATTCTCAATGTCGGTCACCAGGTCGGTCACACGACGCTTCTGCCACGATTTCGGACATGTTTTCCGCCACCGATTTGTTCGGTCACATTCCTCTTCGGCTGATAAGGGTCGGGCCCCATGAGATACGAACCTTCCCAAAAGCACCGCCGACGCATCCCCAACGCATCCACGACGCATGGGATGCGTCCTCGCGGGGTGGCCGAAACTGGCAACGCACCTGCGACATCCTGCGTGTGACGCACGTGCTCATCTGTGGCGCATCCTGTGTTCCTCATGGCTGCGTTGGGGATGCGTCGTTGGCATCTGGGCGCCGCCCAAGCCTGGACGGCCAGACCCTCGGCCTCGCCATGAGGGGAGAAACGGGTCCTGAGGGAAGCGGGTCCCGTGGTTTGCCGCCGTGTTCGGGCTCCCGGGCCCCGGGATTGTCGGACAACAACTCAGGATAACGATCCCGTACAGGGGGGAGGCCCCATGGTCCAGGACCCAGTGTCCTCGGGACCCGTTTCCCCCGTGCCAAGGGCCGAGATCCCCCCCGCACGAGGGGAGCACGCCTCGGGTATGGCTGGGCCGTCGGCCTGTCCGCCCACCGTCTCGGCTGGCCCGTGGCCTCCGGGCTCACAACCACAGGGCGGCGGCCCCTCTCGTGTGCGTCGCTGGTATGGAGAGGGCCGATCCTTCGTGGGAAGTATGGGCTCAAAATCTTGACCACACGGGGCAGCAACAACCTGGTGTACTTCCCAACCGTCATGCAATTCTGAGCTCACCCGGGTTCGGAATCGTCTAGCAATAGAGCGTGGCATCTGAACGAACTTGCTTGCTTGCTTGTTTGCTTGCTTTGCCGTCAAGCTTGGCTCAACTGTAGCCCCCCCCCAGCCTGGCGCCAAGGACGACAACATCTCCACTGCAGAGACACAGAACGTACTAGGAAGCGTTCGTTTGCGCACGCGTGCAAGGAAGTTGGAGAACCCTCGATCAACCTGTGGCGCACCACGCCTGGAAATCGTAGATGTGGACACCCAGTGGAGGAACCGCCGATCCAAGCTGCTCCACGGCGTGATCCCGACCCTGGCCCTGCAGGCCTGATCCGTTCCGAAACTTTTTTTGGTCACGGCCACCAGCTAAGAGCGCAGGCGGCGAACAGGGAGTCTGGGCCGACGGGCAAACCTAATTAGCTGCTGGGCGCACCACGAGCTGGCCGGGCCAGCTCACAAAAGCAGCAGCTGGGGCAGCGGCGGCGGGGAACTGGCTGGCTGAACTTCAACGCCCAGGGAAGCTCGGGCATCGTGCAGCCCTGCGGCAAAATGCCAAGGAATTATGTGTTACGCGCTGTGGCGTCAGTCCACACCGGTGGAGGTGCATGTTGGGACAGGTGGGATAACCTGCACGTGCGATCCTCACAGACACGGTGGTGGGGAAAGGCTATGTACACACTGGTCGAGTCGCCAGGGGGCGCCAAGGGCCAGGGCCGTGTCGACGGCGTAGACCAGCCAGGTCGGCTGGGCCGGGGCCGGGCCGACGGCGAAGACCTGCTGGTCGGCTGGGACTGAACCAGGACGGAAGCACCGCGTCCGACGGAAGGCTGGGCCACTCCGAGACGCCACGCCCGTATCCAGTGGGGCACACCAGTCCCGATGGGCCCGGCCCATGGCCGCACGGTCACGACGTGAGCGTCGCGGAGAACCGCGCAGTGCGCGGAAAGGAAACCAGACTGGCGGGGATGGACGTCGCCAGCGCGGCCGGAGAGCAGGCACCAGGGGGCGACAGCACCAGGGGGCGATCACCCACGTTGCGATGCAGGGTCACGAAGTCCTGACAGGCCACCCTGCCCGTGAGGGACCCTCCTGTGGTGGGGGCGGCGGGGACAGACATCACCAGCCGGCCACAAGGAGGGGCCCGCCAGGGACACCCGGCGCCAGGAGAGAGACAGGGAGAGGGGCGGGAGCCAGGGCCCATGTTCCAGGGATGCAGCCAACGGCTGCTCAGAGCTTAGTATCGGCCATCGGGCGCCCACCCTGCTAGGGCGAAGTATGAGCAGAGCTTCTCGCAGGGTAGCACTGTCTATACTGTCGACCTGCTGGCCCCAGTGTCGGCGGCCTGCCGGCATCACTGGCATCACTGTACCTGCATGTGTGCCCAGGTTACCAGGGGTGCAGCTAACGGCTGCTCAGAGATGGTATAAACCAAGGGGCCGCAGCTGCTGCTACGAGAGGGGGACGTCTCACGGAGGCTGTCGCGCATCGCCCTTGCCAATGGGCACGCCTGCAACGCCGAGAAGCTGTCCCGCTCCTGCCACGCGGCCGCCCGACTGCCTGGATCAGTCTGGTTCCCGCCAGGCGCCGACGGCGTGGTCAGCCTTTGGACCAGAGCTGGACCCTACCCGCGCCTGCTTCCTGGCAGGGGGGAGTGTCGGTCTCGTCGGTTCCTCTCTTTAGGAGCAGCCAGGGGTGCCGCTGGCGGCCGTCTGCCTTCTTCAAAGTAGCTGCAAATATGCCCATGTTACCAAGGGTGCAGCTAACGGCTGCTCAGAGTTTAGTATAAGCCAGGGAGCATCTGCGGCTGCTACGAGAGGGTACACTCCCGGCTCGCGGCCGTCCGACTGCCGGAGTCTGCCGGATCCCCATCAGGCGCCAATTGGTAGGGATCAGTACTCGGCCGAGTGCTGATCCCTACGAAGGCCTGTTTCCTCGACAAGGAGGCTCTCGGCCTCTTCGGATCCGCTCGAGAAGGAAGTGCCAGGGGTGCGGCTGACGGCCGCCTGCGCTCTTCTATCAAGCTGACTCAGAGTGGCCAGGGTCACCCTAAAACAGGACGGATTTTAGGGTGACCCTTCCAGCCCTTCTCGTAGCACTCGTCGCCCTCGACGCTGGTGCGGCACTCCTCTGGCACTGGTGAACTGCACTGTCGGACGCTCCTCGGACTGCGCCGACGTACAAGGCCTGGGACGAGCGACGGAGACCTGCCCACGCCGTGCAAGTGCTGCTGGAAGTCCACGAAGCTGGAGTACTCGTCTGGGGGGCCACTCCGGATGCTCTGGATGCCCGTCCTCGCCGCCCACTCCACCTTCCCGTAGCACTCGTCGCCCTCGCCACTGGTGCGGCACTCCTCTGTCACGCAGGCACCTGCTCGAACGGTCGCTCCTTGGCCTGCGCCGCAGCACAGGCTTGGGGCAAGCGTCCGGGGGCTTGTCCGTTGCCTGCTGGTGCTGCTGGAAGCCCTCGAGGCTGGAGTTACACACACGTGGGAGATACTACTCTGGGTGTTTTTATGCCCGTCCGCATCGCCCACATCACCTTCTCGTGACATTCCTCGCCCTGGCTTGAGGCCTGGCATCCCTGCAGACTGTTCCGGCGGACGGCCAGATGTTCTTGTAACATTGCTACATGCAGCCAGGGTGCAGCTGACGGCTGTGTAAAAATCTGGAGAACCAGGGTGCGGCGGACGGCTGCCACGAGAACCGTAATCGCCCGAGCGCGCGGATCGATCGGGGCACCGTTTCAGGATGGGCAGGTGGGAAACGTGGGGCCACCAGGCACGCGAGGCGGGTCGAAAGCCGTCGCGTGGGAAGGCCAGGGGTACGGCTGATGGCCGTCTGTACGAGTCCGCTTGCCATTACCTGCTGCTGAGGGCCTCGTTTTGCCGAGACGTTAAACACCCCGATCCCCATCGATCAAAGGATCGACGACCTGATCAAGCCCGTAGGTCACCGAGCTTCGTGCTTCGCGCCGCACGAAGCGCACTTCTATTCGCGCTCTCGCGCGGCCACCCTGGAGAAGGGCAGCTGCCGCCAGCCCAAATCTCAGATCGCGATATAACACGAACATCTGCTCGCCCGTGCGGGGGACCCCAAAGGGCTTCCCAAAAGATCCGGTCAAGCTCGATCCCCGGATGCCTCCCGGGGTTTATTCTAGCCCACTAACCTATTTTGCACACCCACCGCGGACATACGCATCTGTTGAAAAAACTTGTATGCTTAAAGTGGTCTAGCCAAGGGCCTGGCGTCAGAGGACAAGCTGGGGCACAGGAGGAAAAGCAAAGAGGGAGAGGAAAGGGAGGAAGACGACGAGAAACAGGAGAAATAGATAGGTTGCCCCCATCGTCAGAGTGAGGGGGCCGAACGGTCATTCACTGTCCCTGGGTGCGTGGCTGAAGTGGAATTCCGCGGTGCGGATTCTCGTTGTTGTTGTTGTTGTTGTTGTTGTTGTTGTTGTTGTTGTTGT